TGTGACTGTGCAAAGTCTCCATCACGATATTTCAGCCAGGCCATGTCTCCATACGTCACAATGAGCCGCTTCTCACTCTCATCACCGTAACTCTCCTTGATGGTCTCCTCTGATTGGTTTAAAAGTGACAGCGCTTCCTCTCGTTGATCCTGAAGATACCTGAGGACCAACAGGTCATCAACAGCTGTTCCACATCTGGTGTTTATGACACCTGACAAGAAACTGACCTGAGGGTTCAACTAACACTTGTTGATGATTCATTAAGGTTTTTATCTGAGGTTCATGACTCCAGGGTTAGATAATTACTGCATCTCCACCAGAAAAACAAGAGTCCAAACAAGCTTCAGGAAACAGATTTATATCAAGATTCTTAGAGAATCAGACACTTTAGTCCAATACTCCAATAATTTTTCTCTTCCTATCACGTGTATCTTTTAAGGCTGAAATAATGAAGTAAACGTAAAGCAAGCTAAAGTCTTTTCTTCCAGCTGTAGCTTTGCTATGCTATCAATCTGGTAATTACTCATTCTTAATGTTAACTTATGAAGTGAGTTGAAAATGAGCCAGACATATCTACTCCAGACACAATGTTGTTACATAAAATAAAATTCATCTGTGTTAGCAGCAGGAACACTGCTGGTAGGTAAGATTAGCAGAAGAAAGACAGCTCAGGGTTGGATCTGATCCTGACAACAAAACGATCTCTCTATCATTCAAATACAAATCCTGCTGATTCTGACCACAGCTTCCTTTGACAGTCAAATTTCTCTTTGGTCAGACGGACTTCAGTGAGAAAAACTGTCTTTCTTCTTGCTAATGCTAGCTCTTCTCTTCTGTAGCAGAGTCCCAGAAATAAAAGTGTTAAGATTTGAATGAGCAGAATAAATCCACTTTAGCTTTTCTTTCATCAGACAGCTCCAGAAACTGTACCTGAAATAAGCCAAGAGGCTGTAGAAGCAACCTGCTCCTTTACACGGACTCTGATGAAACTCTATGTCAATCTCTGTTCGGGTGATCAGTTTTTTCGGGGACACGTCCAGCTTCAGATCCCAGGTGAAGTGACACTGCAACTGCTGCAGCCTGCTGAGCAGAGCGCTGCTATCTTCACTGTAAGAGAGTCACAAAGAAAAAGCTGTGAGGACCATCAGAGGGAGAGCATCAAACCAATCAATCAGTGAAATCAGTG